CAAAATTGACCACTGGCTCACATTGTTGATATCTGACGATTCAATTCTGAGGCATAACAATCATCTAGAAATTTAGCAATGCAGGTCAGCAGATCGCAAGCTGTAGCTTTGCTTACATATATCGAACGGTCGTTCTGATTTTCCTCCCCATTGCTTCAGAGAGTTGTCTTTTAGCATAAGAAGATGAGAAACCAAATGTTTATACTTCATAGTATGTGAGATTTCTTCTTTTGCATAGAAACTGACGCTTCTCATTAACACAGCCATTGCTTTCTTGTTGCGACTACATTCCTGAGTCGACTGTTAAACAAATAACGTATAAACCAATATCTTAAGACCCTCTTCACGAAACTTAAGCATTACTTGAGAATGAGCGTGTTTCTCGGACGTAGAATGTTTGTCGAGCTTCCCAGTATTCTCAGTTGTTTCTTGAAAGTTGGTAAAATGTTTGTTTGTTATGAATTTCGCGCAAAGCTACACGAGGGCTACCTGCGCTAGCCGTCCCTAATTTAGCAGTGTAAGACTAGAGGGAAGGCAGCTAGTCATCACCACCCACCGCCATCTCTTGGGCTACTCTTTTACCAACGAATAGTGGGATTGACCGTCACATTATAACGCCCCCACGGCTGAAAGGGCGAGCATGTTTGGTGAGATGGGGATGCGAACCCACGACCCGCAGATTGCGAGTCGAGCGTCCTAACAACCTGGCTATGCCGGGCTCCTTGGTAAAATGAGTTTAAATGAAAACATCACTTGTTCTATGATGTGCATCTAAATCATTTAAAAAATAACCCTCCACGGGGATGTATCAAAACCAGCCATTCATATTTCTCTTCCCATTTCTTCTGGTATTTAATCGAAGTCGGTGAGGAGTTAAAGCAGCAGGGGTTGACGAACCAACATCACTAGTTCCAAGACTCAGCTACTTAACTTCAGTTTGAGCCAGAGCCTCAGCAACAGCACCACTACTCACTACCTCTAGTCTAGGTTTCTTTGTAACATACTTCACCACAGACGAGTAAAAAGTCACTTACTTACTCAGATGTAAATTCGTTGAAATATGTATATAGCGATTTAGACGGCTTTATAAGTACAGTAAACTTTAGTTTTGCTCAGCCAATACTGTGAAATAGTCATCGTTGATATTCAGAGATTTTAAAAGGGCGATTTTTATAGCTGCCATTTTGTTTCATCATGACACCTACAATTAAGTACTATCGAACTTAATGATATAATTTCTATAAAACATGTTCATAAAATATTTATTTAGATTTTAGTTTCAGAATAAAAATTAATCAGAATTTACCGTGTTACGTAATACACTTTCAAATAACCTAAAACTGAGTTAAATTGTAATTTGGGTTTAGTAGTTAAATAAATACCGATATATCCAGTTTATGATATTTTCAAACAAAATTGATACACACGGTTTTCTTTTTTTAATACAAATATATTTTAATATACAAACAATTATACAAATTACAATAATGGTTATTACCAATAGTTATTATAAACAGTAATTTATATAAAAAAGTTTTACAACTAACAAACAATATAAAGTCTTCTTTCTGGTCTGGAACTTCCTGGATGTCTTATTGAGGGTTCACGATGAGCGAGTTAATGTAGATATATTTCACTTAATAGGGTGCTAGCTAGCTCTGTGGTCTGCACTGATCGCTCGATTTTTTCCACCGATGACGTTAGGTAATGTGTTCGTAAAAGTACTAATGTCCGATGTTAATTCACTGAAGTTAAATGGTTTGTAATGTTCGAAATTTATAAATGTTCCTGGTCAAATATCTTAAGTTTTCCGATTAATAAGCGTTATAACAATCACAGTTCTAGCCTCCGAAGCTTATAGCACACCAATAATAGATACTGTTTTTGGCACGTCGCGTTGGTTATATTTATAGGCGTGTAGAAAGTTTTTCGAAATTTCATCTTACGCAACAATATTGACACGCTACACTAGCGTTTACGTACATACATATATTATTGATTCTCACACTAGAGAATCTTCTACAACTTTAGAGAATAGGCGAGAGTTTCGCAATACAGATTTAACAATATAATTTATGTATATTTCTAAATATCAATTTAATTGTGACGGATTTACTATTATATATAAGTTTTAATATCGATGTTTGTTTATAAACATGTTCATAAACATTTATTTAGATTTAAATTATTTTCAGAATAAAATTAATCAGCATTTATTGTCATATGACGGACAGCCAACTGGTACAGTATTAAAGGCAAGTGATCGTATGTGTTTTAAAGCATTAAGTATAAAGTGTAGGATAAGAAAGAACTAATAAAGAATTCACAAACAAAACACTTGTTCTCTTAAGTTAAACTGAGTAAAATGAAATCACAAAATAAAAATATCTCCAATTAAGTTAAGGTACTTTCACTTTAATCTCTGTAAGTACACTAGACCTGTAAACTTCAAATCATTATACAGTATAGCATAGCTTTTTTTTATCCAGTTCTGTTATTACTGTGCTGGATATATTCTTTAGTTATCTTTTGTTTCTATTTTGTAAATAATCCACAAGTTATGAGTATTTATAGTATTATTTCATCTTCAGCTCATAGAACTGGGGCACTACAACTTTCTTGTTGTTTCAAATGGTATAAACACTTATCTCCCTCATATATTATATGTAAAAAAAGTATACCCTGTTTTACTATCAAAGTTGAATCTCAGTGACGTAACATTGACAGTTCCAGCAATGGATACACACTTTTTTTTTTTTTCACAGATAATCTAATTAATTTTGTTCAATTAGGGGAGGGTAAATGGTATGGTTGTTTTTTCGTTGCTCCAGTTGACCCCTTCTTCTGCTTCAACAAGATATCCACTTGTTGTTTTTTAATGTTTGCAGTAGAACTTCGTGGATTTTAGTTTCTGCCTGAAGACAGAAACGATTAAAACAATGTTGGCAGGAATACGATTATTTTAGTAAAAATAAAATAGAATGTAGACTTATCTTCAATATGGCAACAGGTTCTCGAAATGAGATGAAAAATTTGCTGGAGATGGTGAACATGTAGAAAGAGGAACAAGGAGAAAGAAGTAGGGCATCGAAAGAGGACAAAGCAGAACAAAAATGGGACAGAAAATTAAAAGAGGGGATAAAAATCAAATAAAACCAATAAGAAAATTAAAAGAAGATCAATAGGTAAGAGACTGTGTAATTAAATGAAAGAAACATAATATTTGAAAAATAATTAATGGAGATGTGCATATGAGTTACAACAAGATTGAAAAAGTACACTGTTAAAGTACAAAAGGCATCAAAAAATCGAAAATGAAGTTCTAAAATATATATTTAATGTCTAGAAAGATTATAAGAACAAACTTAGAGAGATATAAAAAGGTAGAAAAGAACATTTGTGACAGAATAAAACACCAAGAACATGAATTTGTAAACACAAGGATCAATACAGCCACTTTTTTCTGGATTTACTTAAAATTTTCAACTGCAAACATCATTAAATATGAAAGAAGTGAACCCATTCAGTCTACACCAGTTACTTCTAGAGCTGTGTTACTAACAGCAATGAAACCTTCCCTGACTTCTACAGTTCTATTATTACTTCATCAAACTACAGAATTTAGCATGCTGGTTTAATAACACTGCCTAATCGAGAAACCAGCAGGTGTGATATTTTCAAGTTCACTGATATCTTTGCGAATAATAGGATAAGAGAAACAAAATAACTGGATGTTCATCAGAAAATATTTTATGAAGCAAACTCTGAATTTTCATAACCTTGAGTGAGAATAAACAGTGCATCACATAGTAAAACTTCAACAACCACAAACATGATAAGAGGAAGCCAGGCAAGCATCAGTAAGGATAACACAACAAGTCCAAATAGCAGAGGAACCAAGTAAGTAGTGACAGTGCAGAAGTAGCAGTATGAGAGAAGACAAAGTAATTTTGAGAATGGGCCTCATGTAGCAAAAAAAAAATGCATGCCACAAATATGGAATTAACTCCTATGAACTATGCGAATCACACGATCTGGTGCTGAAAATTCGTGTATACTCTTGAGCTTCCCTTGATGAAGATACCAGTTTGGGAAAAGCTGCAGCTGTTGTACGTGATCTGATGGCTGATAACCTGGACAAAGGTCATGTTTTATACGCAGATAATTATTACAATTCTGTGGGTTTGGTGCAAAAACTGACTGAGTGATCAACCTATGTATGTGAAACACTTCGGTTTGATCGTAAAGAAAATCCAATGTATGTGGTCAGGAAAAAGTTGAAGGGAGAACATGAATGGAAGCAGTCAGAATCAGTGTAGTTTGTAAATGGAAGGACAAATGGGAGATGCTCACAATTAGCAACATGCACAGAGTAGAGGCAGTTGATGTTGCAAATCAAAATGATAAAATTTTCAAGAAACCCAATATCACTCGTGACTACAACAATGGCATGTCATGGATAAATAGATCTGACCAAATGCTGTCGTATTACTCAGCCCCGAGAAAGACCACATGATGGTATACGAAGATTGCCCATCACATCATTGAAATATTTATTCTGAACACCCATATCCTGTACAATGAAAATAGGGGACAGCAAATGAAACTCTTGAAGTTTTGTGAGCAGGTTCATCTGCTAGTAAATACCATAATGGATCTTCAAGGCCAGGGTCGACGTGCAACTCCAATTCTAAAAGATAAATCATTTCACTACCTCATATGTTTGCCATCCACAGAAAAGAAAGAGAAGCCAACCAAACCATGTCGTGTATGCACAAAGACTGGGAGCAGACGAGAAAGCCACTACGTGTGCGATGTCTGCCCTGAAAAAAACAGCCCTCTGTGTAGAGAATTGCTTCAAGCAATACCATATGCCTCAATAATGAACACATAAACAAGAAGACAGAGAAACATTTGTAATTATTTACTGGACATTATTTTTGTTGTTATTTGGTATGATGTGAGAACTTATTAGTTCCTGTAACATTGAAAGAATAAAATCAATATTTTAAAAATGTTTATTGATTATCAATTGCTTATTGATTCAGACCTGATCAAACAACACCATGGATCATGTAGAATAACACTATTTCAGTTATAATAATATATTTTCACTTTGTAACCATCTCTTCTTTAGTCTTAGCTTTGTGGGGATACTGTGTTTGCACACTTTAGTGGATTTCAGTAGTGCAAATAATGATATAATATATATTTGATCATGATCATTACATAGATACATGTATATGTTCCCCAAACTGCCATCAGATTGTTTGTTGTGTTATCTGGGATGTCAACATTATTCTGTTTTCTATATAATATTGGCAGAATTTGGTACACCTGGGACTATGAGTAGTAGTCAGCAGTCAATGTGTTAAAGGATATTAAGGGGGGATTGTACGAGTATTTTAGAGTTTGATACAAGAAAAGTGGTTTCTACGTGTGGCTTGAAGTAGAAAATGGGTTAGCCCAGATAGTCCAAATGGACCCTTGTTAAGACAAATACAGGAATAAAAAATGTCTTTCATATATGGCCAAATTTTAAAAAATATTGGGAAAAACAAAAAGTTAATGCGAACGAAAAGTAAATTCATGCACATCCATATTGTTAATTATCTTGTACTGTGAAGTGAAATTACATTCATGTGTAATATATTAGTAGAATGTTTCCAAACATGTTTAGTACCAGCTTAAAAATATTGCTAATGGACATTAAACAATCACAGTTTTGTGCTGAAACAGAATTGATAGAATACAAAAATAAATTCAGCTAGAGTTTCTCACATATTTTCTGATTTTACTATCCATAATGAAGTGTGAAACTTTCTTAAAACATTCTTTACACATAACCTTGGAGCTTATATGAAGTTTCAAATAAAATGTAAAGCATTATTGAGCATTAATAAACTTACTAAGCTGCCTTCTTAAAAAAATTAAAGTAGATTCTAACTTTAAATAATTATCCATAAATTCAAATCTGAATCAAAAATACAGAAGATATGTGACAAGTTTAACAAGAGATATGAAATGAGATATATGTTTGAAACCAAGTATACATGAGAAATTGCATTATTTTAGCAAAGTAATACTTCAAATACAAACTTAAAATGCATAATTTCCTTTTAAAAACAAAACTGAATAAAACAGTAATATTTTTCAAATTGCCAAAATGAATGTAACAGTTTATCAAAGTTTCACTCATTACTCACCAACCACCTAAGTGAATCAAAAATACAAGTCCCGTTAAAAAAAATCTACCTAATAATGTCAAAAATAGGATTTTAGTCTCACAACTTGGAACTTTTCAAAGAAATTCATGTAAAGGTTTTAACTATAGAAAACTCACATAAATTACAATCACAGCTTGTGACATAAATTAGTATTTATTCTGTAGCTAATATACCTTAAACAAAAATACACTTTGAAAAAAAAAGATTCTGATTTGAAATTGAATCAAACCAATTTAGCAAACCAATTCATACATTTCACATTTTTAGATTCAAAATGGTACATACAAATGGATTGGTACACTTGATGGAACATGTAACTATATGAGAAAGAAGGAAGGCTATACGTGAAGAGAGTCGGGAACATCTTGCAAGGGACCAGACAAAAACCCACACGTGAAGTCGGATTGACGACACTGCTGGATGGGAGATGGAGGAGTGAGGTTGAAGAAGTAGGGAGCATGACAGAGGTAGAGGAAGAGAGGACTGAAGAAAGATCAGTAAAGGAAACTATAGCTGCACCAGCCAATACAGATCGAGAGAAAGCACATGAGGGAAAAGAAGAATAGGAGGGTAGGAATATAGAAAAAGGTTGGACCAGTCCTGACTGAAAACATCCACAGTTAGAGCTGAGGGATAAGGAACAAGTGAAGTTTGGTGTGGAGATTGAGTGACAAAAGCATCTAGAAGAGGAACGCCCAGATGAAAGCACAGCCACTTGAACAACAGAGGATTGAGGGACCATTCCATAGGTAGTATTTTTTCAGGTTTCAAAGATGATCTGTGAAAAGAATCAGTGAACCTAGAATATAAGACGTACTTGTAAAGAATGGGCCCAGAAAAAGAGGTCAAGAGTGTGGAAACAGAGAGAGTAAGACTGGGTACCTTCCTGGTGAATAATACAGGAGAAAACTGTAGAACTATCTGCATGGATCATCACTAGACATCCATGAACCATAAAAAAAATTATACAAAGCTTGACTTACCACTAAAAGTTGTAAGAGATTCATATGAAGGGATAATATGTTGTGGGACCATGACCCGAAATCTCTTTGGATTCAAGATATGCCCTTACCCTATCAAGGAAGCATATGCAAATAGATGTAGATCTTGATGAGATGGAGGAAGAAGGACACTTTTTGTGGTATTGATGTTGTTGAGGCACCAGGGGAAGTCAATGATCAAGGAAGGTGAAAGGTGAATGGTGGAGGACAACGAATCCCGAGCAAGGTTCCACTGATCATGCAGAGTCCATTGAAGATGATGCATATGAGCACAACCTAAATGGATAAGGGAGTCCATGGAAGCCCAAGTCCACTAAAGAGAGAGAACTTCCCACACAGTGAGAGAAGAAGATAGGGCATGGGAAACTAATTGCTCCATGTCTCTCCAACAAAAGAGGAGAAGGATAAGCACTGTAGAGATGCAAATTTAGAAATACACAAATGAATGTGAGATGAGACTTTTTCAAGTAGACAAACCAACCCAAATGTGCTGACAGAGGAGAAGAGGACATCTATAGGAGGCTTGTTGGAATGGAGCCAAATGAGAAAATAAGCACCTGACCACCTTGGTCATACCAAAACCTAGGACAAAATACCATCATAGGGTGAGAAAAGTCTCCATGGTAAATCAAGGAAGGTTAAGAAACCTAAAGAGATGTGAAATATCGATAATCGGACATTTATCCATTGATTTCTAGGGAACAACAAAAAGACAGGAATAAAATCCTGGAGAAGGATGAGAAACCTGTCTGATGTAGTTGTCAGTCATTAAGCCCAACACTGCTACGGATCAATGGTGGCAAGAAATAAGGTCCCTTGGAGGAGGGAAAATAATGGGAACAGAAGACAATGGAGGAGTAAATGAAAAAACGAAGGGTAAGGCTCTTGACAGAAAACCTAGTAAACAATCGGCTGGAAATGAATGGCATAAGTCTGAACTAAATTGGCCCTAAGCCTATAGGATAGTCATTGCTAAGATTGATGGCACAGAAGTCTAAGAGTGGTGGGAGGATGGATGGGAACAGAGGAACAGGAAGTATGGACAGGGAAAGAAGAGAAAGCATGAAGATAGTAGACAAAAAGAGGTAAAGAAGGGGCAGGAGAGAAATATGAAACTTGTGAGGATAAGGAAGAAACATTGGCATGAAGTTCCAGCATGTGAATCCAGAGAAACAAGCACTCCAGTAAAATCACACTAGCAAATGACAATAGCCAGGTGAAGGTATACGAGATAAAGTGGAGGCAAAAACACTTCAGTAACAAGGGCATCTCACTCCAACAAACTCTAGCAACAGATCAACCAAATACGAATTTATAAGGCCAAGGAAGATAAACATGCCACTGTAGAGAAAGTAAGGGAAAAAGCATCCACTGAAAAACCACTCAGAGGAATGGTGGATTACCATGGAAAGAAGGTGAATACAGGAAAAATAGTGTAAAAGGGTAGAGTGTAAGACAAATGTGGAAAAAATTAAGCCTAAGAAAGATAAACAAAAGACAGAGGATCTGACCCCCAAGTCTAAAAAAAAAAAAAAGAACTCCAAAGTTTAGGAGCTGAAGAAAGGTAGCACAGTGCAAAGTTATGCCTAGTCATATGAGGTAACAAAGGAAGGAGGATGAGGCATGCATGCACCAAAATTGTGGAAAAACTAATCATATATGGACTTGTATATCTGGAGAGGACACAATAAACATAAAAATCAGAAGCAGGGAATGATGTACAAAGTGAAGGAGAGAAAGAAACATACTTGAGAAACCCTGTCCTGAAATTATAAAAAGGGCTTAGATAGATTCAAGATAGTATGGGAATAAGATCAGGCAAAAGTAGGTGGTGGGAAAAAAACTGGCAAAATCCCTTCTTTCATGAATGTGAAACATAGGCAGAGGTATTTCAGGTACAAAAGGAGATCTAGGCCACATTCAGGATATTTTCAAGTACATTTGATTTAATAGGAGATCTTAAGTTAACATGTTCTTACACTTGCAATAACAATTTTTTTTTATTAGACCTCATATAGCCTTGCTGAGAGCAGGAAAAAGTAACTTTATAATCTACATTTGCTAATTTTACAGCAGGAATCCAGTCCTTATATCTATAAATAAAAAAGAAATAACAAAAAAAACTGTAGTTGACAAATAGTAAGGGCCAAATATAACTAAATTTCAATGCTAATACAAACCAATCTTGCAAAAACATCTCATGTTTATATATTAAACTACATACTTCTCGAGCTTTAAAAAAATCATATGAAATATTTTAGAACTTCTGAGCTTCACACCAAATTCACTAAGTTTAGAGACAACAAATGTAATTTATAATTTTTAATGACACTATCTTACCTAAAATTCAGTTTCCTTTGGTTTGGCTGTGGGATCTAAGCCAAACTGTTTCATTTGTACTGCTATATCAAACAAGTAATCATAACATTCACACCTAAACAAAGAACATAAAAAACAAAAATTATTCTTCTGTTAATATAAGTTAAATTTACAAGAACATGAGTAATTTTGTTTATTAGTATTGTTTATGAAATCTGGTTAAGAAGTACACATTATTATACACACATATTTTTCATGTAACACAAAATACATAGGATTCAAGGCCTCTTAATAACACTAAAAACTGTTCAATTGAATTTATTTTCAAGTCATACTTTTTATCAGAGTTGCACAATACATGATTATATACATGTATAATTAATATATATATATTTTCCCAAAAAAATGTACACGTTTTAATGTGGGCCAAAAAAAGTATAAAATCTGGTGATTACTAAACAATGAATGCATTTATTTAAAATCTAATGATGAAAGTTTATGTTCCTACAAGATTATTAAAAATTTTTAATTTAAAAAGAGGAAACAGGGATCGCCGAAAAATTACAGAATCAAGATAGGTAGCTTAAAGTGAAAATGCGACCCCCGCCCCCAAAGTAAACAAACAAGCTCACGGTTTAAGACATAGTTTGTTTTGTTTGTTTGTAGTTAAGCACAAAGCTACACAATGGGCTATGTGTGCTCTGCCCACCACGGGTATCGAAACCCGGTTTCTAACGTTGTAAGTCCGCAG